TTATGTAACACTCTTTTCCATTCTACATTGTGTCCCCTCGTACTGGTAATCCAACAAGAATATTAGATGATTTAACTGTGCCCCATGTGTCCTCACAGTTCTTCTTGAGAAGTTTTGTTTGCTCTAGGTAGAATTTCTCAGTGCTCAGGTGGGGACGCATTTGACTTGTCTGCAGATCCTTGACCCTTCCCCTATATAACTCTTCTGTCTTACAGGGTCCCATGAAGAGCAATTTCTCAGCCACGTTATTGACTGCTTGGGACTCTACTTTCTTCTTGTTCATTCTTGAGAATTCCTATTTCTTTGCTGAGACCTTGTGTCTTTCATTTGTTTCCAGAGCATTTCCCCTTCATGCAGCATCTTTATAACATTTTCTTTTAGGTTTTGTCAAATGATTCCAGCTTCAGCATCAGCCTCAGCCTGGCTTATCTTTTGCCAAGCATTAGACATGTTTCTAACCATGAGCATGTACCTAATAATTCTGGATTATAGCCTGATCATTATAGCCTGAATATTACGAGCCTCTGAGCCATGACACACGAAAGATAAATAAATAAATATAGTTTTTAAAAACTTTTCCTCTGTCTCACTGGTGTATTCCAGTTCCCTGAGATCCCTTTTTAGTGCCCTAGAAACAAAGCTGGGGCTTAGTTCAAATTCTGCTAAAGACTGCCCATGCCTCAGCCCAGACCGAGGGCAGAGCAGCAGAGAGACAAAAAGAAAGGGAAAGCAAGGGCGTTTACCTATTCTCACACCTTTTGCCACCAGAAAGGGACAGCTGCTCCTTAGGATACAAGTTCCTGGGGGCACCACACGCCAGCATCAGCATGGCATTTGGAGGGACAGTAGAAGGGCAGGGTCCTGGGTGATTGCCCTGCCCTTCTGGCATCCAAGGGGACTATAGCAAGCCTAGTGTGGGAGGAAGGAAAAGATGTAACTGCTCATCATCTCAGTGATGTTTATCCCACCTTCCTGCTTCCAATGATGTTGCAGCGCTCACAAAGCTACTGTCAAGATCCAGGAAGGTGTTTGGTAGGAGGGACCAGATGTGCTGTGCCATCACCATCTGATCTGGAGCCAGAACCCACTTCCTTTCACCTCTGTGTTTCAGCTCCATTCCTCAAAAACTCACTCTGGCTGCTTCGGGAGCTTGGGCATCGTGAGTTCAAATGGCTGTGGCCTACACCGGCTTCATTGGATTCCCTTCTGAGCTACCTGTTGCTGTCAAGGGAACAGTCCCTGAGGAGGACCCTGTAGATGGTGTATATGCCTCTGCCTGAGGTCTCCCTCCTTATAGCATGGCCCAGGATGAACTAGAGTCTCAGTGCTGAAAGATGGCATCTCCTATGGAAGCCAGAGCCCTGTGATTAAGAGAGAAGACCCCACCCATGCTCTTGGACATGCAAGCCAGGCTCCTGGGAAAGGTGCTTTAGGGAAGAGTGTGAGCCAGGTCTTGAAGGCCAGCCCTGTGGCTGTTCAATACTCAAGTGGCATGGGGTAGAGCCATGGATATCAAGGCAGCACGTGCAATGATTGGTGGATGCCCAGGACATGAAGGGGCTCAAGAAGTAAGGTGGACAGAGCCAAATTGTCACCTCCTCCCGCCACATCCCCAGTGAGTAGTCTCCCTTACAGAAGTAGCTGAGCTTCATGGGTCTGAGTCCGGGAGTGGAGCTGGCTTTTCCTTTTAAGGCCATACTTCCCACAGCACCTCTTTGGAGAACAGTATCCTTCCCACTTCTGATGATCTGAAGCCCAGGTGGTATTCAGTAAATAACTCAGTTTTCACTTCGGTGGCCTCATGACATATACAAGCCACTTCAGTCCTGTCCTTCAGAGAGGGAATCTGAGGTACAGGGCAGCCTCCAGCAGAGCATCGGCCCCAGCTCCATCAACATCACAAGGCACCAGGACAGAGGAGCAGGCTCAGGAGAGGAAGCATTTGTACGGGACATGGCGGAGGGGCAAGCTTGAGGAACACCACACTGTCACATGCAGAGCCCACTTCCCACAGCACTGGAGTCACTGGCTTGCTCCCTGTGGAGAACCACACAGGGGAAAGATGGATTTCAGTGTGTCTCTCCGTTCCACACAACATGTCTTGGCTAGCCACCAAGGATTTATGTGGCCACTTCAACCTTCAGAAATTGTGTTTTCCACATTAACATTGATTGCGCTTACATGATCAGATGTGCCTACATTTGAAAGATGATCCTTAATGCAGAAATGGCAGACCCATCCTTGCACATAAGTGCAGAGCAAATCTAACTGTGCTCAGGTCTGGCTTAAGGCCTTGTCTCTGAGAGTGGCTTCCACTGATTACTGCATTTGCTCCTTAAAAAGTGAAGTAGTAAAAAAATTTTAAAAAATTAAAAAAATAAAAAAAAGAGTGAAGTAGGATTTTCAGGAAGGTTTGAAACATGATGTGCTTGACTACAAAACTCTGCTTCCTTTGAGCCACACTGCCTAATGGGTCATGACCCCTTTGGCCTTTCATGGGGGTCACATATCAGATATTTACATTAAGATTCATAACAGTAGCAAAATTACATTTATAAAGCAGCAATGAAAATAATTTTATGGTTGGGGACACCACAATATGAGGAACTGTATTAAAGGGCCACAGCATTCGAAAGGTTGAAAACCACTGGGCTAGTGTAGCCTGGTGTGGGCTGTGGACTGGTTAAGAACTGGTTACCAGGGTGATGTGCACGTCTGTAATTCTGTACTTAGAAGGTAGAAGCAGAAGGGCTGGGAGTTCAAGGCTGCTAGATGTCAAGGGCAGTGTGGGCTAGATGGTAACAACAGAGACAGTTTTCTGTGATAAGCTGACAGCAACGCAGAATGTAGAGCTGTCAAGGTGGCTCAGTGGTTAAGAGCACCGGCGGCTTGTCAGTGGACCCAGGTTCAATTCCCAGCACCCACTTGGCAGCTCACAACCATCTGCAACTTCGGTTCCAGGGGATCCAATGTCCATTTTTGTCTTTGGTGGACACCAGCCATGCATCATTTATGTGCTTGCTTGTACATACATGCAGGTAAATACTCATAAGTGTAAAATAAAAGAAAAAAAAAGAGCATCTTTGATAAACTATACTGGTATCTGAACACAAACTTTTCCATCCCAGACACTTTTCCACCTGGGGTGGAGGATGTCCAGTGACCTGACAGTCCTGGGTCAGAGCTGCCATGGTGGGAATCCACCACAGCATAGATGCCAGTTTCTCACAGTCACGTCTGCTCCAGTTAGACAGTCTCTTGGTTTAATCCCCGCAGGTTTATTAAAGCGCACCTCTCCCTATGCCACGACACACCCTGTCTGCACCCTCAGAGGATGCCAGGGCAGTTTCTGCTTCCGGCGGTGTACGGCTGCTTCCACGGCTCCTCCCGAAGGCAGCTCCTTGAAGCCTCAGCCTTTCCTCTCCTCCTCTGCCCACTTCCTTCCCCTTTCTCAGACAACAGTAACAATAAGTATGATTAGCAAGGTGATTTCGAGCCCCTTTCAGAGGACAAGACAGTAAACAGAGCTTGTTTGCCTAAGGACACCCTCCCAGCACCCAGCCACTCAGACTGCATGTGTTAATGAACCCAGAGCCGTTAATGCGGTTTCTTCAGTTAAATTGATTCATGAATTTTGAAGAGAACATTATCTAATGAATTTTCTTTGAATAGAAAGCAATTAAAAGGACAAATCAGTCTGATTAACCCCAAAGTCACCCTCCTGCCACAAATGCTGTACAGTTTGAAATTATATCATGAAAAAACTAGAGCACATTTGCTGTGTCTGTGCCCTCTACTAATCCATGTAAATTAATGAACAACAAAGTTAATTTCTTTGATGACCCTTTTCTAGTATCACCTGGATTATGCTGATGTTTAATTTGCTTAATGTTATAATAAAGACTAAACAGGGTTTTTTTTTTTTTCTCCCAGTGAAGTGATTATCATTCCCTTCAGTTAAGAAGTGATTTTTATTATTTAACACGCATGTAAGGGTGTGTTTCCTTTAAGGACCGAATCACACTGTGCCAGCTTGGCACCAAATGTGGCAAGCACTATTGAGGACACACTCCTCAGTGTCATTCCTGCCCATGGAGCCGTCCTCTGTGTTGTTCCCTTCAGAGAGTCCTGCCCCTAAGTGCTGGAACCCCAGAGAGGGAGGATGTGGCTTGGCTTCCGTGCTCCCTACCCAGTGTGTCCCCTCCAGAAGACAATAAGAATCGATTCCTACCAGACTCCTCCTCCTGCCTGGGCTTCTACCCTACTCAAGACACATGCCAGGAATGATTCCAAGACCCAGAGGCATCAAGGGAGAGGAGCTGTCTGTGCCCCACCCTGTTCATTTATGCCAGGACACAAATGCATGCCACTTGATGCAGCTAGTCAAAGATGGGGGGAGATGTTTTATTTTTATTTTTTTTTATAGCACTGTTCATTCAAGTTGCCTGAAGCTGCCTGCAGCCAGGGTCAACTCTCCCCCTCCCAAACTGGGCTTGCTGGTGAAGGCATCTGGCATTCACAGCAGCACTGGGTATAGGCTCACTCACTGCTAAGTGTGGACAGCTACTGGAGGGCCCCATCCCTAGATATGACCACCTCCTGCATCTCAGCTGAAGCTGGAAATTAACCAGCAGTCCAAAGGCCCACATAGGTGGGCCGGCAGGGGCTCCCGTGCTTGCTAATTGAACTGTGTGCAAACGCCTGCCTGCCTGTTCACAGAAAGAGCATCACATGCTGCCCCACATGGAACATGAGGAAGATGGAAGAAAATTAAAGATGCGGGAAGCCTTCCGAGGCCCGCCTGCTTTGTGCCTGCTTCACTCTCGGTTCTCCTTGCCTGTGCCACCGTGACAGGGCACTGTGTGGAGGCCCGTGTTTTAATTGAGTATAACACTTCTGTCTGTGTCACTGCATTTTCAGCTGGGGGACTGGCAGCTATTTATATCTGAGCTGCTGGAGCCGTTTGTCCAAATCACGTCATTCTGTTTTCTTTCTTTCAGATTCATTCACCAGACAGGTGTTATGGAAGCTGCTGAAGGTTGTGAAATTCGGAGAAATGGTTTCTTACCAGCAATTAGCAGCCCTGGCAGGCAACCCCAAAGCGGCTCGCGCAGTAGGAGGAGCGATGAGAAACAATCCGGTACGTTCTGCAGATGGGAAGCAGGCTGGATACTTGCCACTGCTGATCTTCAAACCACTCTGGGAGCCAAGAGTCATCTGAGTAAACGTATCTCAGAGGCCAGCTATGTGGCTGCGATCAGGGCTTGGGGTTGGCTACCCCGGTGAGAGGGACCTTTGTGTCCCAGCCACATGAGCCCTTTGTTGTTAGTAGCCCCTACCAGAGAGGAAGAACCCTGGAGAGTGGCAAGCAGACAAGAGGGCAGCCTGTTTATTCATTCGCTCTCCTCTAGTCTCCGCCATGGGTGCCTGTTGAGTGGAAACATCCTTCTGTACACTGGAAACACAGCTGTGCGTCCAGAAGACCAGACGGCTGCCCATGTGGCACCAGCCTTCTGAGAAGGTTTCCGTGAAATATTACAACCCCATCTCCCTGGGTCTCTGGAGCAGGAGAAGATGCGACACCTTGAGTCATAGATGTCTTCTGTCCTTGGGCAGCCATTCTCCCTGGGGAATAGCTCTTCCCCCAGAGATCATATTTATTTATGTTTCTTCCTGCAAATCTGTCAGAGTTTATTGAGCACCAGCTTTCCAGCCCACAAGAAGGCTATGATTTTAGAGACACCTCGTGCTTCCACAATTGCAGTGGGTGTTTTGGCTCCACCGAGGGCCAGCACAGCCAAGGGCCAGACCAAGGCCCTACATGACTTGGGACCTTATGTGGGCAAGAAGGCATGCCATCCCCACAGTCCTCAGGGAGAACTCAGACTACCTCCAGGGTCCCTGAGTGTCCCGAGCAGCCTCCTCTGTGCCAGTGTACATGCACTGTCATATTGATAAAGCCTTGTGGGTCTCTGCCATGACAGAAAAATGCTACCTGCTCAGCAGTACACCTTGTCTGGAAGGTGAACAGGCAGTCTGATGAACAGGCAGTGCACACCTCTTTTGGGGGATGGTTGTTGTAGTCCCGGGCTGTTGTGGAACTCTCTGCATAGACAGGGCTAGAACCCACAGAGATAGTTGTCTCTGCCTGCTAAGTGCTGGGACTAAATCCATGCATGGCCACAGCAGGCCATGAGGCATTCAGTTTTGCAGCATACAAAGAGACAGCTCCGAGACGTTTGTTCTGTGACTCCATTTAATGCCCCAGAAGAAGAGAGGAAGCCAACACATTTCCTGCCCTCCTGCTGCATCCTTGTAGCTAATATTTTAAACACACACCAACCACCCTGACTGGAGTAGGCCTTTCTGAACCCCCTCTCCCCACCCCCAAATCTGAGTCCTTCCCAAGGCTCAGGGGAAGGTGTGAACGTGCATCCCCCAGGTCGCTCCTCCAACAAGACACACAACTTGGTATTTACCCACACTTAAGTTGGGAACCAAGTTGTTTTTGTTTTGTGCAGTTCCCTGTGTGTACTCACAGGAAGATGAGGATGGCCCCATCAGTAGGCCCCTATGGCACAGCGTCTGCTCTGAGTGCAGCTAACATTGTGCTTTAGGAACAAGCCCTGCTGCCCAGTATGAACACCGGGAAACATACCACACCTACTTTTTTGATGAGTCCCCATCAAGCACCACCAGAAACTGGTGTAAGGAGGAGATTCTGAGACCTGGGAGAAAAGGCCTGGACAGTGGTAGGCTCTGCCTGGTGCCCATATTGGCTAAGTGTCCTTAGCATCACCGACAACAGGGCCCAAGATGGGGGTGGCTGTGTGTGTCCCCTCTACCCCAGTACTGCCAGGTTGGAATAAGCTCATGGAAAACAGAAGTTTTCATGTTTTGGCTAAGCAGTAGCACTTGCATATTAGAGAGCAAAGAAGGGATGTGGAATCATGTTCATCACTGGACACTTTGTCCTGCATCGTTCCTTTGATGGCTGGCAGTCGCCACAGCCTCATGCCATGTGCTCTCACAACTAGCCATTGCTGGGTTATCCCTCTCTGGAGTAGGAGATGGATTTTGTAGGGTGGGAGTCTCCTCCATCCTGGAACTCAACTTCTCCGAAGTTTCCCAGGTGAGACCCACTGGCCTTGCCAGGAGACTGGGAAGCCTCTAGAAGGTGCCACACCACCCTGCATGAGGGGCGCCTGGCCCCAAAGGCTCTTCACCACCACCCCCGACACACACTCAGAGAACCCCCTTCTTCCACATCCTCAGACACAATTTGCTAAATGTAGTTCAGAGGCGATCAATACAAGCTCAGGGAGTTTCCCACCTTTTTCTAAACAAACACATTCCTGAGGAGTTAGTTTATTCGCAGATTGCCATGAGCACCGATGACCCTTGAGTCCTGTTCTGCCATTCACCCAGATGGCTGTTGATAAAGATTTAGCATCATGTTCTGAGTGTCAGGGTTGTCAGTGGAGCTGAACCATTTGACCAGAAGAAAAAAACGCACCGGGAGCTATTGATTACAACTTCTCGGTGTCACTTGTTCACCAGGATTTAGGTATTGATGAGGCTGCAAGTGAAAACAAGCTTTCTCCCTTGTGGGCTCTGCCCAGAAGAACAAAGGCAAAGTTGGAAAAAAATATTCAGCCAGTTCCAGAATCAGAGGGATTCCATTATTGATTGCAAGGCCCCTTCATGTTATTTTTGTTGGAGACAAATCTATGGGTTTGGAAGTTTTATAGCAGTTGAGAAAGGGCTTGCGTGAGTGATGGATCTGGGTATTGGACAAATTAGATTTCACAGCATGAAGATTTCAATGAAGTTGTAATACCACGGGCTCCTTGAGTATCGATAGCAGTTGCATTGCATGCAGCAGGGGCTCTCAAGTAGAGGACAGCGATGGTATGAGGACCCAGTACATCTTATGATTGAATAAGATGCTGCTGCTAACCCGATGTGATGCAGGGGCCATTTTTTTGAAGGGGACTTGTGTAAGTCACCGGTCCATAATGTGTTTTGTGCTGGCCATCCTCAATGCAGCATTGATCCGCAGAAGGAAGCAGGGAGAGGTGTGCATGGTACTCACTTTCATAACCCATAATCCATTGAGAGGGAAGAAAAGAGTCAAAGTTGAGAGGTCAGGTCTAATATCAAGTAGAATGGTAGAATATACATCCAAATGTCAGCAAGAACCAGATTGAGCAGTATGCCCGCCTCAACCAAAGCTAAGGGTTGGTTATCCCCTCACATGGTCTTCAAACTCTGGGTTTTGTTTTGTTGTTGTTGTTGTTCTTGAAGAAATCAGTCATAGTAACGTTCCACTCTCAATATCCTTCCTTGCTCCTTTCAAGGTCAAGGTCAGATGCCCTCATCCACATACATGTAGAACTCCACTTCTCACCCCATGCTGCTCCTGCATACATGGTCAGCTCTCTTCTTCTTGATCTTTATGCCAGTTGTCTTAAAACTGCTCACAGACCACATCTGTACATGTCATCATGGTAGCCAAAACTTGGAGACAAAGCAAAACAATGTCTGTGAGGTGTTGGAAATTGTGTCCCCCTCTCCCAAGCTTTGTTGTGAAACAGCAATGGTCCCCAGGTTCACAGAGTCCCACTATCACCATGCCTGTCATTCCTCAAGAGAGGCATCAGGAGACAGGCAGATTAAGACTCCTGCTGGTTAGAACCTCCGTTTTGCCTCTTAACAGCCAGGTGCAATGAGTTTGGTGCCATTGACCTGAGGTGTCAGAGGGCTGCAGGGGCTACATTGGGCATGAGAAACACTTCATCAGAGGTGAGGGCTGGAATGACCCTACCTGCTGTATCATGTGTGTTACACCCCCACAAGGAGCACAGTCAGATCAGCAGGTGACCCATATGGCTGAAGACATGGTGGTGACCACAGGGCTACCCTTGTGGAGGCTCTGAGCAACAAGGAAGCAGCAACAGTGGGATACACAGGTTCTGAGATACAGAGCTCAATATTTCAGATACCTATGCCGGGCAGTTTCCTCTAGACCGTCAGCTGGCCTGAAGCTGGTCACTGTCTTCCCACTCATTTGCCATGGTAGATAGAAAAGTCAGGGATGCATCAAGGGCAGAGATTTCTGAGCCACGAGGAAAGGAGGAACAAGAGCGATGGGGGAGGACTGCAGGAGTGGCTGTGTCACCACAGCGGACACCTAGAGCATGGCCACTGTGTGTATACCGGAAAAAAGCTGACTTGCACAGCTGCTCTCTACATTTTCCTGTGTCAGGGCAGCTCAGCCTCTTCCAGAACCAGTGTTCATGGAGGCAGGTACCCAGAACTCAGGTTGTGTTCACTAACAGTTGCCATCTCTCCACAGTGCATGCGTTCCCTGGGCCCTGGTCACAGTAATCTCCGTGGGCTGCCCACTGTGTCCACAGTGGCTATGTGAGCCCTCCTTTAGCCCTCTGGTTACAGCTCTCTTGGAAGCTACTTGTTAGGGTCCCGAGGCAAAAATGTTGAATCCACAGCGTTCTCTGCAGCAGGCATGTAAGGCATGCCCCTTGACAGGGCAGGTGTGTGGCCATCCCTGGCAGGCTGGGCATAGTCATGCTCTTTACACTGTTACCCAGGGAGAGAGATGGGGTGAGTCTATTGACTCCAACCACCGTGGGTTTCTGAAGGCTTCATAGGTGGTATTGTCCATCCTTTCCGACCTATGCTCTGAAGCAGTAAGGAATAAAGGCATGAGGACACCAGTATATTCTTTATTAGGATAAAAGCAAGATTGGCAGAGATGGCACAGCCCAACATCTTCCCAGTGATTCCCACCAGGATGAGGTCCCAACACCAGCCCTGCCATCTCTCACCACCCTGGCCAAGACACACGTTGAAATTCTCTGGAGGAATTTGGAGTACAGACAAATCTTCTGTGGACACACTGGCTCTTCTTGTCCCCTCCTCCCCTGCGGGATAAGAGCTGGTGAGCCCAGAAGTGTCTGTATCCACAAAGCAGAGGAAGGGCCACAGTAGCCAACCAGCCTTCACACATGATGGACCATGGAACCTCAGTCCATGTAGACAAGCCACCTGCTCAGTGACCTAGGCAGACTGTTGTCAGTCCCCTGTGGACCACTGCTGAAGTATGCAAACTTCCTCTGCAGAGACAGGCATTCCCTCATCCAAATGACTAGAAGTCAAAGAACTCAACCTGGACGAGGTCAGAGCCTTGTGGCTGCCAGGTTGAGTATCAGAGTCTCTTGGGTATAAGTATTGCCCTGGAGCCTAGGCCCCATGAGCACCTGGTATCTATCTCTTTTGGACCCCTATGGTGATGTCTATAGATTTGCCTGGTGCTGGGCAAGGAAAATAATGGGACAGTTGCTACCAGGGGGTTCATGAGATTCCAGACCTCTGTTTTTGAGCTTGTCAGAGTCAATAGGAAAAAACACGCATGTTTGAGAACTCACTGGAATCATTCCCCATTGCTTTTATTGGTGTGGCGTTTTGCATATCAGGGGACTAGGCAAATGGCTCAGAACACACAGACAACACCACAGCCCAAGCATGCACGTGCCCAGCCACCATCATCCTTGGTACCCTCTGATGGTCATCATCTCCTTAATATGCTTGTTTCCGCTAAGAAATGGCCTCCCTTAGAGTAAATCCATTGTGTTACAGTAGAGGACTATCCTTAGTTCTACTCACACCATTAAGGAGTGGAGAGTAGCCTGGGTACCTCAGACCTCTGAGTCGGAAGGCCAAAGCAACCCTAATAAGGACTTCCTAGTCTACAGGCCTTGTTAGGATCGAGTGACCCCGTGACCGTACCTGCCACTGGGTGTGCTGCCAATGGCAGTGTGTCCAGGGGAAGGCATAGAAGCTGGTGCTTGTGAGATTCCATGTTTCCAGAAGAGAAGGGAAAGAAAAACTCCCAGTACAAAAACACAGCATTCAAAACACATACAAAAAGCATACAGAAACACACTAGGGATTCTTTTGTGCATTCAAAAAAGCATCTACATACGGTAACCAAAGAGATGGCTGCGTTCAAATAAAACTTTATTTACAAAACCAGAAGGTGGACAACAGCAGCCCCTCAGCCATGGTTTGCCAACTCCTTAGGTGAAGTGGCCCTGCCATCATCCCTGAAGATTTTTAGTTACAGCTTGGTGATGGCAGAGAAAGTTACTTCCCGTGTAGAGCCCAGAAACACAGTTTTAACTTCAGGAGGTACACATGATAAATCACTTTTCAGATGCAATCAGGTACCCTCCTCCCAAATCTTGATACAAAGCATCCCATATTCCACACACACCTCAGAGCAGGTGTACCTCCTCCATACCCCAAAGGATACCCTCAAGGCCTCTGTAGGGTGCAAAGTAGGAACACTGAAGGAACCAACATGGCCACCTAACTGGAGATCTATCTGGTGGTGCTGGACAGTCACAGGCAGGGCCTTGTCTGTAGCACAAAAACCTCAGCACAGGGCCAGACTGACTGTGACACCCCTCTTTTTCAGGTCCCCATCCTCATTCCCTGCCACAGGGTGATTTGCAGTAACGGCACCATTGGCAATTACTCTGGAGGAGGGCAGGCTGTGAAAGAGTGGCTTCTGGCCCACGAGGGCATCCCAACTGGCCAGCCAGCCTTCAAAGATTTAAGTCTGCCGAGGACCCGGCTCAAGCCATCCCGTGGATCCACCACTTCTAAGCAGTCTGGCCGAAACTGAGTAACCGTTTGAGTGACACACAGATGTAACGCAGTGTCAAACACGGATGTGTGATGGTGCCACTATATTAAAAGAGCTGCGTGTACCCTGGGGGACTCGGTGGCCTCCCTTTCTTGATTCTACTACATTTTACAACAGAATGAGTTCAGATGACCCACCCTTGTGTATGTCATCAGTTCCCTCCTCTGACATGGTTATTGTTCTATTTTTAATGCCCATTAAAACGGGGGTGAGTGAGAAAGGCCTGGTGAGCCTTAGGGCCCTTTTGTGTGAAGGGAGACGTGTCTGACACCTGCAGGCAACAGCTGGCCACCCCAGACTGTCCACACTGAACAGCTGACCCCACCCTGGTAGGGCCCCCAAGTCATCCTTCAAACCATTTACCCTGTGGAGATGGCAGCCCCCATTCATTTCCTAACATCCCACCCTTGCTGGCTGGAGGAAAGACAGGCTAGAAAGTACATACTTTGTTGAGGGCCTCAGAGTCGCTTCTCCACCTGCCAGGAAAGTGTTTTGCATCCACAGTGGATGTAAGATGATTAGACAGAAAAATATTACCATCTTCCAAAAAAATTAATTTAGAATGCTGAGTAGCATGTGGGACATGAGTTTGCCTGGGCTGGTGCCCTTCTAAGCATTGAGATCACCCCCAGAGTCTAGCTGTCCTTTTTTCCCTTGTGTTTGAATGCTCTGGGTAGTAGGTAGAAGGGACACGGTCCCTTTGGAGAGCCTCAAGGACGAGGAACCTGTAAAGGTCCCAGCACTCTGTGCTGATGCTGTTGCATTCAAGGTAATGCAGTCACTCAGCTCATGCTGCCATCAGCACTGGAGACTGTCTCCAGATCCGCCATGCTGCTTCACAGTTACAGCACCCTTCCAGCTTTAAAACTGACGATTCTCAATAATAATAATAATAATAATAATAATAATAAAAGGAAACTCAAGCCAGGTGTGCGGATAAGTAAAATAGCATGTGATTGGAGGAACGAAACCACCAACTCTGTAGCAGAAAGCTTGGGTTTATGGTGGCTTCTCTGACAGCAGGAACCCCTCATGCCATCGAGATGGAATCACAGCCTCATAAAGAACTTGCTTTGATGCGTTCGGTACTGCATGCCACCTTGACACCCGTGTAAACAAACCAGAGGCCTCTCTCCCTGGTTTACGATTTAGCATGTCCCCCTCTTACATCAGCTGCACTGACTCGGAGGCATTACCAATACCACACTGAGCTTGGTCATCACCCAGCACATGAAGTAAGGTGGGTCTTGTTCACATGGTGAGCCCCATAATTCATGCATTTTCAGACAGGGCGGGGTGTACACACTGGCATCCCCCATCTAGCCTCACCAGGGTATTTTCTGCTCATTTTCTGGAAGGGCCAGCAAGACATATGGGAAGGGCTTGAGTTACCTTGTATCAGAGTAAAGCCACACTGATGTCTCCCCAGTGCCAAGAAGTCACCATATGATGCCTTTGTCCTCTGCCTGAAGAGAGCAGAATTCTCAAAGAGCAGCTCTGGGCCCTGCAGCCTCCTGTGCCTTGTATGTGTGTGTGTTCCAACAGAGGGCACTGTGGCTGCAGTGTGCTAGGGAGACCCCGGCCTCCTCTCTGCTTTAAGAGGAGTTGGAAGGTGGGCATCAGGTTTGGACTCAGCTGGTTCTGAGCAGGTCCTCCACCCTGCCACGTGGGCTGCCAGGGCAGTGCCTTGTACATTGGCCTCCTGTGCCTGGGTGGCCTATGTAATGGGAGCTTTCCTTGTGATCTGTACATTTCCAAATAGATCCAGGCTCTAAGAGGAGCCTGGGGCTGTACAGATATCCACGGATGAACCCCCCAGCATGGGACAGCCACATGCAGCCAGGACACCAACCCATCAAAGCCACAAGGGCAACCTGGCAGTTCCAGGTAGCCCAGAATGATGAGCGGGCGTGTTTGGGCCTGCCCTTGGAGCAGTACGAAAGCCGTGTCTGCTCTCCTCTCCGAGGGTTTCCTCAGTGCTGTCATAACAGGTTCATAGATGCCCCGAGGTAGCCGTTGACAGCAGCAGGACTCACTGCAGTGACCGTGTACTGCTCCAAGGATAAACTCTGCAGAGGCTGACATGAAACGCGGGTACGGTCGCCTGGAGCTGCTCTGGCTCAGGGTTGCAGCGCAGCTTGTGAAAATAAGAGGAAGAGGAAAGGCATAAAGAATTACAAAAATATTTTCCAAATAAAAAGAAATGTTGAAACAAGAAAGCTGTGTTCTTTGGCCTTGGCCCCGGGTCCCCCTCACCTATTGAGTCTGCATGCCCTGAGCTGCTGTGTTTTGAATGCTCCACGTGGAGGGAGGCCTGTGCAGCGTGTCAGCTGCCGTTGCACTGAGGCTCCTGCCAGCTACCCTGTCATCTTGCCATCTCCATAAACCGTAGTGCCCAAAGACCCAGACCTCATTGACAGCAGACTAGAGAGATGCATTTGACCATGAAGGAGGTTGAAACTTGGAAGGGGGTGTTTTCTCCCAGTCTCTTCCCTGTTAAGGACACACAAGCCACCCACTTACCCATATCCTGTGGCCTTATCAAGTGATTATTTTCTGCCCAAAGTAGGGAATACTCCAACCTGGAGCAAGATCAGTCCTGGGTCTGGAAGCCAAGTTCCTGTAAGAGGCATTATAGGATGAAGGGGTCATTCTTTGAGATTCTAAAAGTAACAGGTGCAGACAGTAGATTCTTCAGGGGACATGTCAGACTTGCTTGGGAGATAACTGGATGTTTAGCTCCCTACCAGAAAGCTTCTGGAATGTTCCCCAGGGTTCTGCCATGTGCTGAAGATCCATACTCCTTGATATCTTCCAGTGTGCCTCTCTCTGCCCTAAGTTCTACTCCCTACTACTGGTCTCTTGCCCCAAGTCCTTCCCCCTTCTTTTTAAAGGGCCTAATACTGAGAAGTCAGCACTTTTAGGACAGCCTTCCCATACAAGCACACACACAACAAAGCCCACACCAAGTGTGATCAAGGGCAGTGGAGGAGTTGTGGGCCATCTCCAGAATGGCTTGTTGGAGTCATTGGCAACTAGGCAAAATGCTGCATAGGTTCCACTGCGATCCTGGATCTAGTTCTCAAGAACAAAATGGCTGTGTGCATTTTGATGCCAGCTCTGACCCTGATGCTATCAGAGTGTACAGGGAATCCCAGCTGAATCTGTTTTCCCTCCAGAGCATTCCAGAGAGGCCAGTGCTTCTTTGATTTCAGGCACTGCTCGGCAGGACTCTGGAGTGACAGACACACTGGCGTAATGTGGGACCTAAGGAGGAGTTTATTTTGCTCTGAAGATTTTCCAGGAAGTCCATTCAGGAAGCTAAACCCTTTGCAGCTTCCTCCTGTTAGGGGATGTCTGGGGCCCTGTGTGTCTTGTTTGCTTGTGTGTCACAAATATGTCACAGAGGGTAGGTTGAGGCCCTTGTGTGGGAAACTAAATATTTTTTTTTGTCTTCTCCAAGCCACCTATGTCTGCCCTTTCTTTTCATGAATATTGTCTTTAAATTTTTACATTTAAGAATCAAGACTTAGCAGAGCACAGAAAGCCACACAAGATGTAGCTGCAGCTGTTAGAGAGATGGAGGCAGGAGGATGGTGACTGAGAGGCCAGCCTGGGTTATATAGGAAGACTTGTGTCTTACAAAATTTAAAAAGCATTTGTGAGGCAGAGGCAGGGGAGGACATAGGAAGATGTTCCAAAAAAGAAACAAACAAACAAACAAACAAACAATAAATAAATAAATAAATAAATAAACAAATAAATAAATAAGGGAAAATTGAATTAAGTTCCTGGTTATCTCACTGGAACAGTTTGGGAAAAAAAGTGAGATTCTGTAAAAGGCTCATTCCTAGTCCTATTGTACGTCTGTCTGTTTATCTGTCCAGAGCAAAGGGGAAGTGTTGCTTAAAAGCCAAGGAACAAAATCATAAGTTCTGCCATGGCTCCAGGTGGACAAGGGCAGGCATCTGGGGGCCTCAGAATCCTGGGACCCCGTGGCTCCAGCTGCTGACAGATGGAGAACGCCTGGCCTCCATCACCCAGGGCTGTTCCAACAAGGGTCTGTGGTTGGGGTTGGAGGCCAGAGTGGATGAGGAAGTAGGAAGTGGATGCTGGGCCATGAGGTGCAAATTGACAGCAGGGCCCAGCCTGACAGCGCCTCTGATTGATGAGAGGACACTGTTAACAAGCCTTTAAAGTTTCTCATTAATGTTTTTTTTCACTGAAAAGAGCCACAAGAAAAAAATTCCACATGGACGGTAATTAAGATCGATCCTGTACAGTATGGTGCTGCCGCTGTTGGGAGCCTTTAGAAGAAAGCAAACCCTCCTATTAAACACTCATTTTCAGGCTGCCAACTTCTGGGTTATTGAAGCCCCATGCCATGGGGGATGTGAGTGAGGCCCATTTTTTGAACTAGAGCGGTAGGCTGCGTAGGGAACCTGTTTTCACTGAGGACACAGGATGGAACCTCCACATTTTCATTGCCATGGTCTCCGATTTAGTGGCCCAGAAAGGGAATGAGGCACCCAGATGTATTGAGTGACAGCAGCCCCCAGCCAGTCCCAGGGAGTGCCATAGGTAGCCCTGCATGGTGTGTGCCCTACCCCAAGAGACCCTGGAGTGAGGTGGAGGGCAGAGGAAGGAGCAACAGCGTTAGCAGTGGTGCCTTTCCCTTGTGTACGCAGGACACTGCCACCCAAGTCTCCCTGATACACCACATAGGTATGTGTGCCTTCAGGTCCATTTGTTGACTTAGATAACTTGGAACCCAGCTGGAGAGGATGCCAGTGTCTAAACGCCCAGTGCTGTGTGACCCTCTGCAGAAGTCCTGCCTTCACATGCTTTGGTTGCGTGGCTACAGGAAGGAGGTGCAAGTGTGAGATTTTTAGACGCTATAGAAGGGGTAGGAGGCATGTGGAATGACTCATTGTGGAGTCTATCAGGAGGCCCTCCTATGGGACTTGGCTCTAGAACCTCCCATTCTTGAGCCTCTGTGGGAAGCTGGGCTCTAGCCTGAGAGAGAGTCCCAATAGGGAATGAGACCATTGTCAAGGCCTTGATGCCCA